CATGTAACATGTTAAGCAACTTAATCAAGGGAGATTGCATGCCAAATGCAACATGATTCAAGCATGCAATACATGCGATAGTCCAAGTATGCAACAACACACAAGGTGAGCATGCAACAACATGCAAACAATGGACTTATACCAATTTGGGTAGCTCTCAAACAAACCCAAAACAGTGGCCAAATGCTAAGGAAATGAGGTGCAAATATACATACAAACTTGCATGCAAATGGACCAACACTTAAGCATCAAAGAAGCAACCTTTAGGCACACTTAAGAGTGGATAATCATGGACAAATGACATGCATAATAAGCTCTGAAATCATGTTATAAGAGGTGCCAAACCAAGTAAACAAGACAAGCCAAGCATGCAACAATGCCCAAAACTCAAGACAAGCCAAGGGGCTTAAACCAAAGCTATATGAAGCAAGCCCCAACAGGTCCAATGCAGGTCTAAACAAGACCAAAGACGCATCTAGATGGCATCTAAATGGTCTAAACATAGAAGCATGCACAAAGGTCCAAACATGGAGCATAAGACACAAGCCTTTCAAAGCATTAAAGGGGCATCGAATGCAAGCATACAAGCATAACATGAGGACTGAAATGACATGGTAAGTGGTTCCAAACCACTAAAACAAAGCAAATAAAGCATGCTAGAGGGGTCAACACTCAAGGCTCAAAAGGGGGATTACATGGTAGCTATACAAAGCAAAGCATGGATGACCTGAGCAACCAAAAATAGACCTTAGGCATACTAAAACATGCATAAAAGCTTCACAAAGCTAAGCCAAAACAAGTAAGCATAGTGGTCTAAATACTAGGCACATGTTAAGGCAATTCATGACATTACAAGACAAGTATGCAAGGCAAGCATGGTGTGTCTAAACCAATTAAAAACAGTGCTAAATCATGGAAAAATAAGCACAAATAACACTTAAGACATGGCCAACATGCACTTAAACAAGATGCTCACACATGAGGCTAAAATGGCCATTTTTGAAGGCAACAAGGAGAGGGGATGGCCCTCTCCTTCTTAGGACCTTAAAGCACCATCCCCACCACTAAAATCCCTCAAGATTTCAGTGGTGAGGAGGTCCAAACAAGATGGACCCGGAGCTTACCAAAATAGCACAAAATGGGGGCCAAACAAGGCCTAAGAGGGGTCAAACAACCCCAAAGCTCAAAGCAACCTTAAACAACTATTTTAAGCAAGTAAAAAAAAGACTTTTATATGTTATACACTAAGCTCAAAAATAGATGCAAGGTAGGCAAAAAGACTATACAAAAATGGGGTATTTAAAGGTAAAGTTCTTACCCTTGTAGACCTCTTCAAGAACAGCACTCCAGCTACTTTCCTTAGCTCAAAACCAGCTCAAAACTTCAAGAACAACCTAATGGCTCCTCAGCAACCAAGGTAAGGTGTAAAACTAGGTGTTTGTGCACAAAAGTAAGGACAAACACACACTTATACACAAAGAGAGGGAGATATAGAGATAGAATAGATACATTATGGCTAACCCTAATCCAGACCTCTGGAACTCAACCCTCTAACCTCTGAGGAGGGAGGAGAAGCCCTCCTCTTATAGAGAATCACTCTTGCAAAGCTTACAAGACAAGCTAAGCAAGAGTGAAATCCCTCCATACACGTGTATGGAGGGGGTGCAAAGTGTATGCCAGCTAGTACAGCCGGCATAAAAATATCTGTAAAAGCAGATGCACAATGGTCGGCCAGCTAAAAATGACAAAATGGCATAATACATGGTCGACCGACCACAAAGAGTGCCGACCGACCAAACATATGGCCGATGGCAACAAAACAATGGCCGATGGCCTCAAGCCATGGCCGGTGAGGTGTGGGGGTGGCCCACAAGCCACTCTCTGCCCCTCAAAAGCAAAACACAAGTGTTTGGTGCAAAACCAAACATAAACCAGTTGAGTTGAGCAATCCTGAGGCAAGGCGCGTGGCCGAGACCTCTGAGAACTCAAGACGAACACGAACATGGATGATCACCGAGTGTTCAAACGGTGACGCCCAAGTCTTGAGGACGGTCAAAAATGGGGTGTCTACATCCACCAATACACTTTGTTCTAGGTGATAAGCACATGAGAGTAATATAATACAATATATATATATATATATATGTTCGTATGGTAAAAAATGAGGCGAAAAGGCAAGAAAGTAGAGTTTTTGAAATAATAAAAAAAAAATGTGAAAGAAATCAAAGAGAAAGTAAGATTAATAGACAGAAGACTGTGTTATCATAAAAAATAGAGTTTCATGATTCCAATTTATGCAAAACCCTATTTCATCTTCTTAATTGTTCACAAACTGCATTTTGTTTTAGCTTAATACAGTCATATTTTGATGTAAATTTTGGGATAAAGTGTATATTAGTAGAAAATGTAGTTAATTTTTTTTCTTTTCTTACCCTCATGTCGTAATCACAATCTTATCACATTTTTGCTAAAGATTTAAACAATTGAGTAATAGAAAGGGGATATTGACACTTGTATAGGGATCAAAGTGAGATTTATAGGGGATTGACTGTCACAATTTCATGTGTAGGGACTAAAGTGGGATTTAAGCAGAAGTACAGGGGGTTGATTGTCATGATTTCATGTGTAGAGGCCAAAGTGAGATTTGGTGCTTAGTGTAGGAGTGCAAAGTATAATTTACCCGTATTTGTCACAACCCACATTAAGCGAATGGTTATGAGTATACAAATATAAGCAACCATCGGTAACATGGATATTCACAGTGTCTACACTTCAATTGATGTGAATGTTCATAGCGTTGCTTCTTCACGTCGGAGCTATAGAAAAATATTTTCGAAAAAAATAATTAAAGCAAATAAAAAATAAAATAGAACATAAGAAATTTCTTACAGAAATTCTGCAAAAATTAGAATAGTTTGTGATTGAGACTAGCATTTGAACACTGTGTCTTTAAGACAGAAATTTGCCTTCGCCTCTGGTGCTTGCGATTGATATGCATCATGTCTCCAAGATACAATGATCATTACACATAGAAATTACACAACTTTCTGTGTGTACAGTGAACCAATTTGTGTTACGCACTCTCTTTATTATACTTGACTATGACATATGCATAATATCATGTATTTGGTTCATGTTTAATGCTGTGTAATGAATAACATCATGTATTTGGTTGCTCAAAACCATTTCCGGATAAATGGGAATTCAATGTGCATTTGAGCTTCGTGAAAATGGCAAAGTAGGTTTCTTACACATTTGTGAAATGTGCTTGTCCTACATAGGAAAGGTTTGAGATTTTTTGAGTCCATAAATTCTAAGTTGGCACACTTGGGATGGGCCCCAAGGGACACCCATGTTTTGTAAGAAGCGGAGTTATGGACAAAGTGGGTTTGACCCAAATTCACCACACACAAGCACGTCGTCGTCGTTGTTTGATTGAGTCAGGTGTGGGATGTGGGTTGAATCGGTCCATACTAAATTTTTTGGACAAAATTCATTTGAATTTTTCAAAATTTTTTGCGAGAAAATTTGAATTTCAAATTTGTTTTATTTCCGTTTTTGCGTCAAAATTCAAATTCAAATTCGACTTTCTCTTGTCACCCCCTTTCCAACCGGTTGCCTTTCTGGTCGTACATTTTTGGCCATTTTCGTATAGCCATGAAGGCTTCCCGAACAGGTGTGAGTTCACATTCATTTTCTCTCATTTTTATTTGTCTTTCCTGTTTTCGTCCTTCTTTGCTTTTGCATATTTTCTGTAAATAGTTATAGGAAGAGTCAGTGAGAAAGAAAGAGTTTCAACATTGGTTTGGTTAGCTAGGCTTGGTATTGTTATGCTGCATTTTCAAATTATAGTAGTCACATCATAGGAAGTAAACGCCAGTACAACTTGGAGCATTCGAGCAATGGCGAAATCTACTTTAAGGAGATTGTGTCTAACACAAGTTTCAACTTAAAGTTCTGCATTTTTAAAGCACTGTAAGCATTAAATTTAGAATTTAATTTTCATAATTAGTTTCTGAATTATTTACCTGTTGTTTATTTTATTTATACATTTAAATTATACACATATTACTCAGAGGATCATCTGGGTTCTAACAATCTTAAAGTAGATTTTCATTTTTGTTTGTGTTTTATACATAAATAATATTATATTTCAAAAAAAATTAGATAGCAGTAATATACTGTTTAACTTTTTTATTTTTTTTATTAAATTGTAGTAATATACGGTTTAATTTTTTCTTTGATAGATTGTAGTAATATACTGTTTATCATTGGGGTTTTGTTACAGAATTTTATTCTGTTTGTTTTGTGTGTACAATTTATTTGTATAAAAATTTTTAATTTGTGATTGTTGCATTTTTATTTCATCAGAAATATGGCAACTGAAAAGGATAGTACTGAGACTATTCCTACCGTAACTGCAAACTTGGTCACTACATCTATGATGCCGTATTGTCAATGATAACCCAGTCACCAGTAAATCATAGGGAGAAGCCGAAAAAGTTCAATGGAACTGAGTTCAAAAGGTGTCAACAATAGATGATGTTTTATTTAACCACATTGAATTTGGCTCGCTTCACCTATGAAATTGCTCCGGTACTGAATGAAGGAGAAACCGATTGGCAAGTTGTTACTGTTGTAGAAGCATGGAAACATGGGGATTTCCTATGTCAGAACTACATCCTTAACAGATTGGACAATACATTGTACAATGTGTATAGTGTTAAGAAAACCGCAAAAGAACTGTGGAAATCCTTGGAATTAAAGTACAAGATCAAAGACACCGACACAAAAAAATTTGTAGTTAGTCGATTTCTTGACTTTAAAATGATGGATTCCAAACTGTCATAAGTCAAGTTTAAGATCTCTAATTGATCCTGCATGAAATTCATGTAGAAGGAATGGTTATTAGTGAATCCTTTCAAGTTGTAGCGATGATTGAAAAATTACCACTAACATGGAAAGATTTCAAGAACTAACTAAAGCACAAATGCAAGGAGATGAATTTGGAAGAACTAATTGTGCGATTCCATATTGAGGAAGATAACCATGGATTTAAGAAGAAATCCGGTGGTCACATCATGCAAGCAAAAACTAATGTTGTGGAACAAGGACAGTGATCTCATTCTAACAACAAAAAGAGGAAGCATGACGGAAAAGGTTCCAAACAAGGCTTCCAAAGTGGGGACAACTAAAAGTTCAAAGGCAAGTGCTTTATGTGTGGCAAAAACAGGCATCGTGCTAAAGATTGTCATATTTGCGAGGAAAGCGGAAACTCGGGCAAGAGGACAACACAAGCACACATGACCAAAATCAACTACATCTCTGATAGAGTGGGAGACATTAGTCTCTTTGTTGTGGTTTGTGAAAAGAACTTAGTGAGCAACTCCAAGGAATGGTGGGTGGACACTGGGGTTACTCGTCATATCTGCGCTGACAAGAAAATGTTCACGACCTACAAAGTTGTAGAGAGTGGAGAACAACTCTTTATGGGAAACTCTTCAACCGCTACAGTCGAAGGACAAGGAAAAGTCGTGCTCAAGATGACTTCGGGTAAAGAACTCACTCTTAACAATGTACTCTATATGCTAAACATTTGCAAGAATCTGATTTTCGGGCAATTGCTAATCAAGAATGGATTTAAGTTAGTCTTTAATCTAACAAAGTTGTACTTACTAAGAGTGGGATGTATGTGGGGCACGGGTATATGAGTCATGGGCTTTTCAAGCTTAATGTACTAACTGTTGTACCAAATTTGGCTATTAATAATAAGAACACATCTTCTGTTTATATTGCTAAGTCCTTTTATTTATGGCATGGTAAATTAGGACATGTTAATTTTAATTCTTGGGTAAACTACCAATAGGTTCCAATAGTTAGATTTAATTCCCATCAAGTCCTATTGAAAATAAGTCTTAATAAAATCGTCGCTAAAAATAATTTTTTGTTACTATTTTTTACACATGTTGCTAAAAATGGACAATTAGTGACTTTTTTTTTTGTCACGGTTTTTATAAATTGACGGTAAAACTTACAATTAGTAACATTTTTCTGTAACAAAGTTTTAAATTATCGCTGAAAGTTAAAAATTAATAATATTTTTTTGTGATGATTTTTTTAAATTGTCATTAAAACTTATAATTATTGACATTTTTTGTGACAAAATTTTCAATCTGTCTCTGAAAATTAACAATTTGTGATGTTTTTTAATAGTGTCTGATGAAAAACGCTATTAATTATCATAGGACCTATTAGACAATAAATTTATTTATTAAGACCTACACGTAAGTCCCTTTAATTCTTTATGTAGACTTGTTTATTTGGAATGTTTACCTTAGAATTTGATCCAAATCATAAGTGTGAGATTTGTGTTGAGGCAAAACTCACTAAGACATCATTTAATGAAGTAGAAAGAAGTACTGAATCTCTAACTTTAATTCACATAGATATTTGTGATTTGAAATTTGTTCAAACTAGAGGAGGTAAAAAAACACTTTATTACTTTTATTAATGATCGCGCTCAATATTGCTAAGTTTACTTATTGAGAAGTAAAGATGAAGCTTTTGGAAGCTTTTAAGCAATATAAGCTTGAGGATGAAAATCAACTTGGCAAGACCATTAAAATAGTAAGAAGTGATAGAGAAGGTGAGTATGATACACCTTTTGAAGAATTTTGTTCTCAACATTGTGTTATTCACCAAACCACTGCAACCTATTCTCCTCAATCAAATATAGTTACAGAGAGAAAGAATTGAACTCTTAAAGAGATAATGAATGCCATGTTGATTAGTTCAGGGTTACCTCAGAACTTATGGGAAGAGATGATTTTGTCTGTCAACTATGTCCTTACCATGATAACTCACATGAAAATCAATCAAACACCTTATAAATTGTGGAAAGGTCAACGATCTACTTACAATTATCTCAAAGTGTGGGGGTGTTTGGCTAAGATGGTAGTCCCTAGCCCTAAAACGACTAAGATAAGACCAAAAATCGTTGACTGTGTGTTCATCGGTTATGCGAATAATAGTAGTGCATATAGATTCTTAGTTCATAGATCTGAAAGTACTAATATGCATGTGAATACTATTATTAAGTCAAAGAATGCATAGTTCTTCGAACATATCTTTCCTTGCAAGAAAGCTGAAGAGTTTAAAACTCCCAAAGTTGAAGAGACAAGTTCAAGTAAAATAACTTTTGATATTATTATGGGTAGCAGTGAAGACCAAAATGATAATGAAGATAATGAACCTAGACATAGCAAGAGAGCTAGGATATCTAAATCATTTGGTCTATATTTTTTGAAACTTCAAAGAAGAAACATCAGGTCTTGAAGCACCATTATGGAAAGAGGCTGTGAATAGTGAAATTGAATCAATTATGCAGAATCATACTTGGAAAGTGGTAGATCTTCCATCAAGTTATAAACCTCTTGGACATAAGTGGATAGTTAAGAGAAAGATGAAAGCAGATGGCTCAATAGGAAAATATAAGGCAAGGCTTGTTGTTAAGGGATACAGGAAGAATGAAGGCCTTGATTATTTTGATACCTATTCACCGGTAACAAGAATAACATCCATTCGCATGCTAATAACAATTGCAGCATTGTATAATTTGGAGATATATCAAATGGATGTTCAAAAAACATTTTTGAATGGCGAGTTAGATGAGAAAATCTATATGGAACAACCGGAAGGGTTTAAAGTTATAGGCCAAGAGAAAAAGGTTTGTATACTTGTCAAATCCCATTATAGATTAAAACAAGTTCCGAAACACTGGCATGAAAAGCTTGATCGTACTATGATTTTGGATGGTTTTAAGATAAACGAATGTGACAAGTGTGTCTATGTCAAAACACAGACATAGGCTATGTCATAGTTTGTCTTTATGTGGATGACATGCTTATTATTGGAAGCAATAATGGCATGATTAAATCCACAAAGAAAATGTTAAACAAGAGGTTTGACATGAAAGATTTGAGAGTAGCAGATGTAATTCTAGGGATGAAAATCACAAGAACATCTGAAGGATATGTTTTATCTCAATCTCACTATGTTGATAAGATTTTCGAGAAATTTGGGAAGCATGAAGAACGTCCTGCAAAAACACCCGTTGACTTTAGTATTCATTTGTTAAACAATACAAGTGTAGGCATATCATAATTAGAGTACTATCAGATAATTGGAAGCTTGATTTACTTAATGAACTGCACTAGGCCAGATATAGCCTATGCTGTGAGCAAGTTGAGTAGGTACACAAGTAATCCAGGGACAGATCACTGGAAAGCAATAATTAGGATATTTAGGTATCTAAGGTATACCCAGAATCATGGCTTAGATTATACTAGATATCCAACAGTATTAGAGGGGTATAATGATGCTAACTAGATATCGAATACTAAAGATTCAAAATCCACGAGTGGATATGTCTTTACCCTGGAAAGTGCTACAATCTCTTGGAAATCTTTCAAGCAGACATACATAACAAGATTTACAATGGAATTAGAGTTTATCGCGTTAGATAAAATAGGAGAAGAAGTAGAGTGACTTTATAATTTCTCGGAAGACATTCCAATGTAGCCTAAACCCGTGCCAGCTATATACATTCACTGTGACAGTGAAACAGCAATAAGATGGTAACAGAGTCATATGTATATCTCGACACATCTGTCAAAGATATAATACTGTTTGGCATTGGTTCTCATATGGAATAATTTCCATAGATTATGTAAGGTCAAAAGAGAACATTGTGGATCCGTTGATCAAAGGGCTAGCCAGAAAAACAAGTATACCATTTATCAAAGGGAATGGGATTAAAACCTATCACTTAAAAGTTGCCATAATGGCAACAAGATATATGTTCAAAGGGACAACTAAATTATGGATAACTTCACATATCACTAAGGAGATTTACTCCTATCCCATTTCTATGATAAGAAGAGTGATACTAGCAACGTTAGTAGGATAAGCTTTGCTTTTAATGATTCTTATACCTTGGGCATCCAAATGGGATATGACATGATGCTCTTGATAAGAAGTTACCTATATGAGTGTGAATTGGGCCGGTTCTGTGAGAATTGAGAAGGCTAAATTCTCTAGAGCACTCATGAATTACCAAGCGTTGTTTAGGGCCAAAAAGAACACAACTGTGAGAACTAAACTGTGTCTAGGGATGCACTGTATGTAGTCTATTGTCTTGGCTTACGTAAACCACTGAACAGTTCAAGGCATCACGTCTACTGGTTAGCTAGTAAGTTCGATAGGATTTCACTAGAGGAGGTTCAAAGCCAAAAGCTACCTATCTTGATGTGGTGTATTTTCTTAGTGTACTATTTCTTTGTCTGTATTTTATTGCATGTTCATTTATTGTGAATTCCATTCATGTTGGGGATTATTGGAAAATGGTTTTATAAACCTTATTTTTTGCTAATTTTGAGCATTAATTAAGGTGGGACCCAAGTGTTAATTTTGACGGGTCCAAGTGGGTTCATGTTTAATGCTGCGTAATGAATAACATCATGTATTTGGATGTTGAAAACCATGTTCACATGAATGAGAACTCAACGTGCATTTGAGCTTCGTAAAAATGGAAAATGAATTTCCTACACATTTGTGAAATGTGCTTATCCCACATAGGAAAGGCTTGAGATTTTTTATGAGTATATAAACTCTAAATCGGTACACTTGGGATGGGCCCCAAGGGATACCGAGTTTTGTAACAAGGGGAGTTATGGACAAAGTAGGTTTGACCCAAATTCACCACACACACGCACGAGTGGCCACTGCGGTCCATTTAACCGACTGGTCGAGCCGGGCTCGGGTACGGGTTGTGGGATATGGGTCGGATTGGTCCATACTATATTTTTCAGACAAAATTTGTTTTAATTTTTTCAAAATTTCTTTTGGGACAATTTGAATTTTAGATTCATTTTCTTTTCATTTTTGCACCAAAATTCAAATTTAAATTTTCAAATTTGAACTTCTCTTATCGCCTCCCTTCCAACTGGTTACCTTTCTGATCGTACCTTTCCAGCCATTTCTGAATAGCCATGAAGGCTTCCCAAATAGGTGCCAGTTTGGTTATAAATAACCTTCACCATTTCCTCAATAGCTCATTCAATTCACATCTATTTTCTCTCATTTTGGTTTTTGTCTTTTCTATTTTCGTCCTCCTTTGCTTCTGTATATTTTCTACAAATAGTTTTAGGAAGAGTCAATGAGAAAGAAGGAGTTTTAGCATTGGTTTAGTTCGCTAGGCTTGGAATTGTTATGCTACATTTCCAAAATATAATCATTGTATCTTGGGAAGTAGACGCTGGTAAAACTCGAAATGGCGGAGCGAGGGCGAAATCTATTTTAAGGAGATTGCGTCTAACATAAGCTTTGACTTAAAGTTCAACATTTTTAAAGCGCTGTAAGCATTAAATTCATAATTTGATTTTCATAATTATTTTCTGAATTATTTACTTGTTGTTTATTTTATTTATATATTTAAATTACACATACATTACACAGAGGACCATATGGGTTATAACATGAATGAAATTAACGACACAATACAAATGAAATGCAGACACTAACAAAGTGAGTATAAAATGGAAATATCCTGCATCAAGATATGTAGCTTTTGGCCTTAAACCTTCC